CAAAGATTTTCCTTTTTCTAAAAGACATGCATTTTTGTCAAATAGATTATATCCTAGACCTTGTTTAAGAAGAACACTTCTTTGGCTACCTAACATGAGTTTCAAATTATTTGTTCCTTGAGTAAACTTCGCTAGACCATTAATTTGATCTTTAATAATTGATTTCAGGGATTTATATTCAGAAATGAAATATTCTTTTAGCAAAATACTTTCCTTTTTCCTTTTTCAAGCAATCATATTCATTTTGCAAAGTGTCAAGTTTCTTTTCAAGAATGTACGTTTCTCTTTTAAATGAGGCACATTTTTGGACCATTTTATTCTATTCATCATGCAACTCTTTAAATACATCAAGCAATTCATCATATGCATAGGTTACCTCATCATAAGACATATGTAAATTAGATGATGAATTATAGTTGGAGTTTACCTCATCCTTGTTTGCCATGAGACAGAGATTGGCCAATTCCTCATCACTTCCGGAACAGTTGGAGTCATCATCTTCCAATGTGGCTTGCATTGCCCTTTTCTTTCTATTTTCTTCTTTATAGCTTAGACAATCAGCTTTGAAATGCCCTGGTTTACCACAATGAAAACAATTAGAAGTTTCACGTTTGGTCTATTTATTTGATGAATCATTTCTTTTGAATTTGCCCCTGTTGAATTTCTTTTTTTGAAGAATTCTTTTGAAGGCTTGAGAGATAAAAGCTAAGTCATCTTTATCATCTTCACTTTCATTCGCTACAACTGCCTTTTCTTTTAGAGAGGATTTAAGAGCAATTTCTTTCTTTCGGTGATGATCTCCTTCTCTCTCTTTTAAGGTAATTTCCCATGTGAGAAGGGAACCAAGAAGTTCATCTAGTTTAAGAGTGTTGAGGTTGTGAGCCTCCTTGATGGCCGTGGCTTTTGCATCCCATTTTTCAGGTAGACTTCTTAAAATTTTCCTTACAAGATTAGAATTAGTCATAGTTCTATTAAGATACTTCAAACCATTTATAATATCAATAAATATTACAAACATCTCACTAATAGACTCATTTTCATTCATGCAAAATAATTCATATTGATGCATAAGAATATCAATTTTGGATTCACGAACGTGTGACGTTCCTTCGTAAGTAATTTCAAGTTTGTCCCAAATTTGTTTAGCTATGGTGCATGTTGAAATTCTATTGTACTCACTAAGACTCAAGGCACAATTTAAATTAACTTTTGGCTTTTGCATTTAAAGAGATAAACTTATAGTCATTTGTGTCCCATTTACTTTTAGGTTTAGGAACTGATTTTGAATCAACTTCTTCCATAGGAATAAAAGGACCATTTACTATAACCAGCCAAATTTGATAATCTATAGATTGTAGAAAATCAATCATTCTATTTTTTTAATAGCCATAGTTGGTTCCATCAAACCAAGGAGGTTTAGAATTGCATTGACATTCTTGATGAAAAAATCTATTTGCATTTGTCATGATCGTTCTCTCTGACACTTAAGTCTTTTCAATAGAGATTAGGCTCTGATACCAATTATTGCCTAAGTATTAACTCTAGAGGGGGGGGGGGGGGGGGGGTTGAATAAAGCCTTGGCAAACAATGGACAATTTTTTATTTCAATAAATAAGCAAGTAATATATATACTATTAAAATATTTATCCAATGATAGAATAGATTTTATACTACAGCAGATTTACTTATATCATGCAATCATAAAAACAGAAGCTTAAGCATTTAACAATATAAGTAAATGAGACAAGGGAAGAAAGAATGCAAACAAGTGCTTGGCGATTTTAGCAAGGTTCAGAAACTCTTATTCTTCGGCTCAAGACCCCTCTTGAGACTTCTCAATCCACTATGGTAACTCCTTACGGGTGGAGAGCAAACCTTTACATGAAGCACACCTAGTTTAGCTTGCTAAGAGAATAACCTTCTCTTAGTCTCCTTTTGGGCCAGATCAACCCTTACAGATTTGGAGCTCACTTGCTCTTTCTTCTTTTTCTAAGAGAACACTCTCTTTTAGATTTTTAGTAAATCAGAATAATAAGATTTAGTACAATATAATATCTCACAGATTAGAAGCATAATATTCAGCTCACACTAGAGTATGTATAAATAGATTGAAACTCAAAACACTCTAATGATGAATTTGATGTGTATGATTAAAATGATCAGAATGATAGCTCTATTTTCTTTAGCTATATTCCTTTCTCATATTTGTATTCAGTCAGAAGGCTTCTTCCTTGATTTATAGATAAGTCAAGGTCAGATGTAGCTGTTGGAGTTCACAAAAGTCAAGGTTAGATGTAGCTGTTGGAGTTCGCAAAGTCAAGAACAAAGCTGTCTAAATTTTGAATTTGTTGCCTCATATGTTCCCTTAAAGTCTCCTCAAATATTTAGTGATATCCCTCTTGATTTGCAGACCAATGCAAAGTCAATTTTGGTAGCTATGAGTGGACTAAACAAAGGACAATACAAAAGTCGCAGGTTTAAAATTGAATCTGTTAATTAAAATGTATATGCTATCTGTTTCGGTCGACCAAAGTGAATTGGCTCTTTATTTCGGTAGGTCGAAATAACCTGAGGTTGTTATTGCATTTTCACTTCAGTCGGCCAAAATGAATAGGTTTTTATTTAGGTTGTCCGAAATAGCCTATGGCCTTGTTGCAACTTTACTTCGGTCGTCCGAAATGGCATTTCGGTCGACTAGTTGTGACTTCAATTTTAACTTAGCTACTGCTTAACTTTGTTAATAAATCGGTCGTCCGATTCAGATTGTCTCTCCATTTCGGTTGGCCAAAATGGAATTTAAGTTTTAAGAACATGTTTTGATTCAACAGAGATTTTATACTTCATTTTATGTTTCTTGATTTTGATGCAAGTGAAATTATGCATGAACCTAAGTATTTGAGCTTCAAAAGATTCATAAATACTTTGACAAAGGTTCCTAAAAGCTCGCCACCTTAGCTACCCCATTTGATATGAACATCATTAATGAATTGTAGTCATCAAAAGTCTTAGATTCAACGTCAACACCTTTCACGAAGTAACCAGGCCTCTTGCCTCAGTAAGCAGTGAGTGTTCGAGTCAAAAAGTGGAGGGTTAAAAAAAAAAAAAAAAAATGAAAGTATTGGTAATGCTAATTTAGGTTCGAAGCCTAGTTAACTTGAGTTAATAAGCTCTTTGGGGTGTCTTTACACCAAATGCCCTAAAAGGTTGGGAGTCATTAACTTAAAACTTGTTACATGGGTCATCTAGAAAGCTTAAGGGACTTAAACATTGCATAGCTTGCCATCTTTAAAAAAAAAAAAAAAAATGAAAAATTTGCTTGCATAAGTAAAGTCATTAATAAATACATTGGATACTTTAGCTTGGAAGGGAATACTAATGAGTTGAAGCTATTGTGATGTGTAATATAAGGATTAAAGGGTAAAACACATAATTGGATGCTAGTTCACTTCAAAAGGAAATTAGGGATTGATTGTTATTGGGAATATGTTGAATTGAATTTTGTATGGGGACTATAGTATTATTACATGTAATTAGAGGTTTGGGATTGCTTGAGAATATTAATCTTTCTTATACTTGACATAATAGTTAACTTGATCATGATGTTTATACAATTGTTTCGATTCCATGGAAGTAATTGAGCTAAGTGTAATGTGTGCACAATTTTGTGGGTATCATCTCTTGAAACCCTCACGAGGCTATAGTGCGTCCACTAAGGTAACCTAGGGGTTTAAGGCCTTATTGCATCCTTATTGCATATGGTAAATGCAATCGAAAGTAACCTATGAAAGTGAAACATTTTTAGTTAGGAGTCAGTTAAAGTAACAATTTTGTTAACTTATCTCTTTTTGTCTTTATTTGCTAGAGGACTAGCAAAAGTTTGTTTGGGGGTAATTTGACGAGCGCACAAAACTTGTTATTTTATACTTAATAATAAATGATTAATGAATATTTTTTATTAAATAAATGTTTTTATCCCTGTTTTTCATGTTTTAAACGGGTTGATTTCCAGAATAAGAAGAAGAGAGAAAAAAATAGCAAAAATGTGATATTATAAGATCAATCAAAGTCAAATTCAAATTTGACTTTTCCATCAAATCAGTAAAGATCAAGCCAAATTGGAAAAGATATCATTCGAAATTGAAAAGCACATCATGTCAAAGATATCAAGCCAGATTCGAAAGCAGCAAGATTTTAGGAAGATTTTATTTTATTTTATTTTCACTTCTGTAATTAGAATTTTCTCCTCCCATTCCATTCTAAATTATATAAATAGGGACATATGTAGAAGAGGTAAGATGTACAAAGTAAGTGAGAGAAAATAATACAGAGTTAGAGATTTTTTGTTTTGAAATTATTTCCTGTAATTCTTTTTTAATGAAGATTGTTTTTATTTCTTTATTTTGTTTTCTTATTATACTAGCTTAAACATCCTTTCTCAAGGGAGTGATGAAGCCACCATTACTTAAATATAAGTAAATTTAGTTTATTTCTTTTATTAAATTTTCTTTTGGGAGCATTAATTTTATTCTTCTATTTTGATATTTTTTTATGTGAAAAATATAAAAAGAGGATTTTTCGTGTTTGCCAAGTAATGGTGATACGAAGAATGCTTACTTCTATTTATAATTTTTTTAGAGATTAAATAAAAAATGCTCTCTCATATAAAAAGAAATATACAAATTTATTTATAGTAAACCGTAATAGTGGATTCTTTCCTTGAGATTTTTCTTATTATTTAATCAAAATTCATTTAGTCTTATTTATTTATTTATTTTATTTTATTTTAGTTCATTAGTAAAAAAAATCTTCAAATTGTTTTAAAAGTGTTCTTCCTTAAATTTTGGTTTTATTTTTGAATTCAAATCTTGAATTTGTGTTCGACCCTGCTTATCACTATTTAATTTTTAATTTAATCTTTGCAGGCATTTCTTTTATTTTTGTACGAAGTGTAGAAAAGCAATAACAAAATCCATCCAATTTTTAAAACATGTTGCAGCAACTTAAAGTCTCAAAAGATATCAATACATTCCCAACATAAAGTTTCAAAATACATCAATACACACCCAACTTAAAGTACCGAATATCATAAATACCAAATACCAAACTTAAAGTACTAAATAACTGCCACAAATAGAAAATGCTATCAAATTCATTACATCTCAATGGTGTTTAGGTCGTGCTTCGTGGTGCAACATGAAACCTGAAATGAAACCAAAAATATTTATCATAATACAATTATATACCTGAGAGCTTTGTGTTTTGTTGTTATTAGGATAAATAAATGAACTACATACCTGAGAGGCTCGTGTTGATGTGGCTTAAGCTGATCTTGTTGCTACTGCCCTGAAGCCTAATATGAAAACAAAAACATAAATAACATACAACAATGCACTAGAAATCTGAAAGGAAAAAAAAAAAAATTTTGAAATGAAGAAATCTTTATTCAATGAATTTAATACTTGAGACCATTGTGTTGCTGCAGTTACCGCTCTATTCCTTTTTGATCTTTTTGGTGGACGTCTTCTTCCTCCTACTCTTGGGCCTACTGTCGCTGATGATGATGGACCTCCCCAACATCATTGTCCAAGTGAACAATGATATCATGCAATCTGTCATGTCATGTCATTTCAAACTAAAAAAACACACAACAAACATGTCAGATAATATCTTTCAAAAAAAAAAAAAAAAAAAACTTCACTGGAATTAGAAATGAAATGCAGACGGGCAAAAATTTTTCCAAAACTTGTAGGGGAAAAAACTAAGGAATATTCTGCTTTTAAGTCTAACCATCATCATTTTCATAGTATCATTCTCTAAGCTACATCACATATTTAATTTTGCTAAAACACATCATAGGAATATTAGTGAAGGGTGCAAGACGTGTAACCCACTGCCTTAATCATTACATATAATGAAAAATTGATAAAGATCCTACCAATATGAGCATAAATATTTTGTTCAGAACTGTAATATAAATGTGAATGCAAATTATTCAACAATGTCGGTGCACTATAAATTACAATCATTTAATGGCAAGCAATTGATATTCTATTGATCACATGTTAACAACCATTGTGGAATTTATATTCAAATCTCTCCAACCACATTTCATGTGGAAACTGAATTTCAGGCATTTTACACCCTTATTTTTTGCAAATCATCAAGTAATTTTTACAAGACCTCAATAAAAGGGGTTAGAGATTGTAAAATTTCTTGTGTGACAGACTATGGAAATGAAAACCCCAAATTTATCAGCACACCATCCAATAAGTAAGCAGTGAGCTCTTAAAGGCATCTTGGTGTGTAGCACAAAGCTATTGAAGACCACTTTTCCATCAAGCAGAAGCAATGTCCCAAAATAGGGTTGCTCAATTTATAAAAGGAACTAAATATATAACATATAATATACCAACAACAAGATGTAATTGAGCCGATAAGGTATAATAGCAATGATAAAAATAAAAAACAAAAATTAAAAACCCAGAATTTTAGGACATTGTTTATAGGAAAGCAATGTTCTTTCTCTTTTTTTAAAAAAGATATACAATAATTCCTTCATTTACATCTAGAACGAGAACTAGAAATTTCAAACCCCCAACAAATTATTGTGTGCAACTTTAACTAAATTATTGTCACAAAACAGAAATTTTTACACAGAGAGAAGGGAAAAGAAAAGAAAGAAAAAAAAAGCAAACAAATCTAGAATGAGAACTAGAAATTCCAATACATTAGGGTTAATAAACCTTAATTTAAGAAAACCCCCAAAAAATTAGGGTAAATAAGAAATGAAATGCAGACAGAAACATAGGGTTTGATTAGGGTATGATCGTACTTGAAATTAGGGTTCTTCAACGAATGGCCTCTGAAAAAGAGGATCTCTCTAAAGACAATTCTAATGTAGAAAATCCTCACTGAAGCCTACCTTGTTTGGTGGATTACAAGAGCAGCTGGTTCACGCTTTCAAATAGAACAGATTCTGAATCAAGAGCTCTGATCCTAGCTCTCGCCGCCACACCGGCTAAGATTCTAGAGCAAAAAGGAGACACTGACACGCACTCCAGCTTGGCCTCTGGTTCGGTTCCGTCACCGAGAACTCTGATCCTAGCTCTCGCCGCCACACCTCAAACAGAATAGATTCTGAATCAAGAGCTCTGATCCTAGCTCTCGCTGCTACCCCGGCTGAGATTCTAGAGCAAAAAGGAGACACACACTCCTGCTTGGCCTCGGGTTCGGTTCCGCCACCGAGAGTGCTGATCCTAGCTCTCGCCGCCACGCCGAATGCTTACGTCGGAATCGGCAACTTTACTTTTCCCAGAGAGTCTTTGTCGAGACCGTGATTGCAGTCCAATCTCCTTCCTCAGCCCAGTTGCTTCTTTTCGCCTCTTTGATGGGTTTATGGTTGTGGCAAAGAAGGAAGGCGGCTAGGTTTGTGTTTGGTTCAGAGAGAGAGTGGTGTGTGTTAGATGCAAAGAGTGGTGCTAGGTGTTGGGTGTATGATGTCGTGTGTAAAATTCAGAGAGGTGTTTTTCTCTTTTAGAATTATAGATTTTCTTGTATTAAATTGTAGTAAAAAATTAAGGGTAAAAGGGTTAATTTACATGTGTCACCATCTAAACAACAAATTGAGGTCTAAGTGAAAGTTAAAACTAAAATTTTCGTACAAATAAAAAATAACCTAACTTTATAGAGTCTGAGTATAATTTACCCTTAATTTTAACAACAAATACCCAAAATAGTTCTCAAGTAAAACAAAATTATACATTTCACTAAAATTCAACTTAAGGTAACATTATTACAAACTTATTATGAAACCCCTCATAGTAAAAAGACTAGCACCTAGAAGTTCAAAGTTCTTAATCATGCCTAATATCTGTTTCTGCTAATCCAAAGCTTTCTCAGAATTGTGACCTGAAAATGATTGGGGTGAGCTAGACAGAAAATAGTTATCTTCTATGCAGAAAATATACTACACGGGCAACAAAATAAAATAACGGCATCATAGTTTGAAACTTGAATAAAAAGAAACAATCAGTTTAATAACACAAAATCCATACGATATTGCCAAGTTCTACAAGATGCCAAATAGTTTTTTTATGAGAGAATAAGTAAAGCCAAAAACAATCACAATCCTTTGGTTTTTGATACTGTTCAATCATTAGCAAACAAGAGATCATGGATCACAAAGTGATCAATGCATTTTCCCCCTCCTTTATCAAAATTTGCTTTCTTATTACATAACTCCCACTTGCTTGAAATTTTCTTAATCATTCCTTATCATCAATCCTGCCACTAACTCAACCCATTACTTTTTCCTTTTTGCCTCTGCAATTGTTTCAACCTTCATTCCCTGTTGGTTGCAACAATTTCCTATTATTTTGCCACCATTCAGCCACAATTCAATCATTCTCAAAAAATGATTTACTTCCCTATTCCCTTCTCTTCTAATAAAGGCAGAAACACAGGTTAGGAAGGTGATCTTGTACAATTCCCTTCTTTTGAAATTATGTATTTGTAAAACATTATTTGCAAAATAATCTTTAAAAGATATATTCCTTCTCTATAACTTTCCTTCTAAAATGCTCTTCTTTCAGAAAGATCTTATTCCGTAAATAAATTATTTTTTAATATAACATTACATCCTTTAATTTTAATATCAGTTTCTCTCTCTTTTGCTTGATCACAACTACTTTCTAAGTTTTAATTTTAATATTTATAATTTTATCCATGACTTTTATGGTAAAAGGACAGCTAGGGCTTTACAGTGTTTTAATCCATTTGGCCCAAATTTGGTCCTAGCATATCTTTATGGTAGCGTATGTTGGCAAGGGTTATTACAGGAAATAAAAGGACCTTATAATGTGATCCATTTAAGTAAGCAGGTAATCCACTGCTCAGTGACAATGATAGGGTAAAACTCATCCTTTTTTGCTTCCTTTGTCTATTCTTGCAACTCAGATTCAGATAGGGAGCCTCTCTGGGCTAATATCATTCATCACTCATCCTTTTTTGCTTCCTTTGTCTATTCTTGCAACTCAGATTCAGATAGGGAGCCTCTCTGGGCTAATATCATTCATCACTCTCCATCTTCTTGAATAACCCTTGGATTCTCCTAGGAGATTTTAATGTTATCTCAAACTTGAATGCATCTATGGGAGGTGCCTACAGATCAAATAATGCCATTTCTGAATTCAATGAATGCATCCATGGAGCTAGATTAGAAAATTTGAAATTCAATGTGTTAGAATGTTATATATATATATATATCTATATCTTGGGCCATTATGTAATTACATATAGTTAGTAGGGCCCTTGTGTTATTAAGTTGACTTGTATCCTTTATATAAGCCTACATAGGCTTATTAGGTTAAGAGTGTGAAAGATATATACAAGTTCTCTCTCTGTCTCTGTCTCTCATGATTAAGAACATGGTATCAGAGCAACACGAATTCATGGGTACGTGTGAAGGTCTGTAATTGTGCTGTCTAAGATCGGAATCACGATCGGAATTGCGATTGTGGTGTTGGTGTTACTACTTTCTTCGTTCGTCGCTGGTAGCTTCTCGTTCACTATCATTAGATCTGCAGCGTCATTCGTCGTCGTCAGATCTGCATCGTTCGTTATCGTTGTTGCCGGCAGCTTCTTTTTGGTTGTCAGCGAGCTCACTGACATTTGCCGTCTTGATTTACAGAGGTGAGATTCATCGATTCGCCTTTTTTTTTTTGCAGGAAGTTACAGAGGTAGCTGCCTGTTGATTCGGCCATTGATTGTGACTGGTCGCCATTGTCTCCGCTGCTTTGTTCGCCGGCGTTTGTGAAGGTGTGAAGAAGACCCGTGTTTGGCTACACGGTTATGCTATTCCAATCCTGATTTACTAAACTTAGAATAGCTATTCCAACCCTGGTTTACTAAACCTGGGATAGCACAGCTTTGGCCCGTTTGCTCAGATCCGGCTCATTTGACCAGATCCGGCCCGTTCAACCAGATCCGGCCCGTTTACCAGGTTCGGCCAGAATACAAATTCTGCTTTTTTTTCTTCTCTGTTTTGTTGGGTTCAACATGGTGTCCAGTTCAGATTTGTTTTCTCCCATATCCAGTCTTCATTCTCCCATGACTTCAGTTAAACTTAATGGGAAGAATTACATACTGTGGGCTAAATTTGTTAAAATTTTTCTCAAAGGTAGAGGCCGTGGTACTCATCTGACTAAAGAGAAACTCAAGGAAACTGATGCTTCTTTTGATGCATGGGAAAAGGAAGATGCTCAGATCATCTCTATGATGATAAACAATATTGAACCCAAAATCAGTTCAACTTTTCTTTATTTGGATACTGCTAAGGAGATATGGGACAGATTGCAGCAACTGTATTTTGGGACAGGTAATATCACTCGTGTTTATGAGCTCTGTAAGCAGTATTTCAATCTTGAACAAGGTAATCACAGTATAGAAGAGTATTATTCCAAAGTTATGGGAGTCTGTGAGGAGCTGAATATGTATCAACCCATTATTGCTGATGTTCGAACTATGCAACAACAACGTGAGGACTTTAATGTTGTCCGTTTTCTTATTGGTTTGTCATCAGCTTATGAGTCTTTTCGTTCACAGATTATGGGCAGTCCCACACTTTCATCTCTTGCTGATGTGTTTTCTCGACTTCAGCGCGCTACACTTGTAAGTAATACCTCAACTTTGAATACTGGGCAGAGTGGTGAGCATTCAACATTGATAGTTTCAAAGGGTGAAAATACTGCTTACCGTGGAGGTCGTGGGGGACGCTCCACCTGTGGCGGTCGTGATTCACGGGGAGGATGTGGCCATGGCAGGGAATCACAAAAATGTACTCATTATGGCCTTCCTAATCATGCTGTGAATTTTTGTTTAGACCTTCATGGCAAACCATCTAGTTATGCAAATCAAGTTTCCTCCTCTCCGAATGATGTTGCTTCTGGATCTCACAATGTAGCTGAATCAGATACGGTCCCTGTTCCACGTGATGAGTATAATCAGTTTTTGTCTTATAAGCAAGCATTTAATTCATCTTCCATGACTACCTTTACCCAGTCAGGTACTGTACACACATGTCTATTGTCTTCCACTCGCAGCCCTTGGATCATAGACACTAGAGCATCCGATCATATGACTGGATGTTCTTCTCTTCTATCTGATTTTAATTCTGTACCTCCTTCTCAAAGAGTTACCCTTGCTAATGGTTCCTCCACTAAGGTTTCAGGTTTGGGGATAACTCAACTTAGTGATTCCTTGTCTCTCTCGTCTGTTTTATATGTTCCTCAGTTTCCCTTTAATTTAATGTCTATCAGTAAGCTTACTAAATCTCTTCAGTGCTCTGTTTCATTTTATCCTACTTTTTGTGCGTTTCAGGATCTCAAGATGAAGAAGAAGATTGGTACGGGGTATGAAGCCGGTGGCTTATATTACTTTGATTTGGCACCTTATCCTGTGGCTCTTCAGTCTTCTCTATCTCCATTCTAGTGGCACTATCGTCTTGGTCACCCGTCATTTCCAAGTTTTGCAGCTTCAAGTTCCTAGTCTTAGTCATTTGAAATTCTTGTCATGTGAAGTTTGTCAATTTAGTAAGCACCATCGCGTCTTTCAAGTCTAGGGTTAATAATCGTGTCTCTAGTCCTTTTCATTTAGTTCATTCAGATGTATGGGGTCCAATAAAGCATTTTTCAATCAATAAATTTCATTATTTTGTGACATTAGAGGATGATTATTTTTTTTTTTGATACCCTGACTTGGTTGTTTTGATGAAAGATCGTTCTGAGTTATTTTAAATTTTTCAAAAATTTCGAAAAGAAATCAAAACTCAGTTTGGATGCCCAATTCGTATTCTATGTTCTGATAATGCTAAGGAATATTCTTCAAACCCTTTTGATACATATCTTAGTGATAAAGGAATTATTCATCAAAATTTATGTGTTTATACTCCTTAACAAAATGGAGTTGCAGAACATAAGAATCGACACCTCGTAGAAGTAACCCGTGCTCTTTTGTTTCATATGCGCATGCCTAAACGGTTTTGGGGTGATGCTGTTCTTACTGCCTATCATCTTATTAGCCATATGCCGTCATCTGTATTAGATGGAAAATCTCCACGATCTATTTTATTTCTTGATTCTCCTTTGTTTTCTCTTACTCCAAAGCCATCTGCTGTCGTGCCTCCTCCATCGTCTTCAGAGTCTTTAGATCCAACATAGTCCAATGTGTCTAATTCCTTGCCTATTGCACTTCGTAAAGATACTCGCTCATGTGTCACTAATCATCCTATTGCTCATTATGTCTCTTATAATTCCTTATCGCCAACCTTCTCATGTTTTTCCTCTCAGTTGTCTACTACATTTGTTCTTAAGACTATATAGAATGCTTTGTCTGATTCGGGCTGGAGGAAAGCAATGTAAGATGAAATGGATGCTTTGCATCAGAATGGCACATGGAATCTTGTTCCATTACCTCCAGGTGTCAAATCGGTAGGTTATTGCTGGGTATACACTGTGAAGTATCTTC